CCCCCACAGCGTGCAGCCTCTGCAACACGTGCTGGTGTCATCTGGGGCTCGCAGCCTCGCCAGATCTGAACAGCTCTGGACTAGCTTATCCTTGAGATCCTTTACTAACTTGATCGTGGTCATTGTGGTTAATTAAATAGAAATTGTAGGCATATACTGCAGAGACGTGGAAGAGATCTCAAGGATAAGCTAGCCCAGGGCTGTGGGCCCCAGATGACACCAGCATGTGTTGCACAGGCTGCACGCTGTGGGGGTGGGCCCCTACGACCCCCTCACTGCACGGGCTGCTCCAGCAGCATGCAGACCCCCATCCTCAGCCATGCAGGCTACATTAGCAGGACCTGAACCGCCCAACTCCGCTCCGGCAACTGCACACCCCGCAGCTCCAGCCCAGCCCCAAGGCACCCCCAACTCTGCGCGGGAACCTACCTCATGCCTCCGTCCACCACGTGTGTGGGCATGGTGCAGGCCACGCTGCAGCTCCTCCAGCCATGCGCTGGGGGGCAAGAGGCGGAGCCAGAGAAGAAGCTGCACGCACTGTCCCCAGCTGGGGCAGCCCCGCGCCGTGCAGCCCTCAGGGCAGTGGCTCACTGATGAGCCCACCCCCGTGCGGGTAAGCAGCTCCCCTCCGCTTGCTGCCAGCCCTGCCTGCCTCGCCTGGCCACGGTGGCTCTGCACTGCGTGGCGGTGGCTCCGCCTCGGCTTTGCGCTCGGCAGCGGGTCTGCGCTCTGCCGCGGGCCAGATAAAATGGCTTGGCGGGCCGCATGGCGGCCTGTGGGCCATATGTTGGACAAGCCTGGCTTACAGGAATGCCCAGACCATACTATATTGCTGAACAAGCATGGAAGCCCCAGCAAGAAGCCCCTAAATAGGAAGGGAAGTAGGGTTGCCCTGGTATAGCAAAGATGAAGAAAAACTGACCTATGTGAAACCTGCTCACTGGCTAAGGATTATAGTTGGGTTAGCTGCGAGTCTGCTGTTATGTTAGTTCTAGACGAAATCCTGCAGTCTCCTTGATTTTGTTTTTAAGTCTGCTCTAGAACTGCTATCATTTCAATGGTGGCTTATGTGAAAACTGCCAGCCAGACCCTGAACCCCCTTCTTGCACTAATGAACTGTTAAAATGTGTAGTTCCCAAAAGCCTTTAACAGGGCTCCTTAGGTGAGTAACTGCTCCCCCACAGAAGGGATTCAAAGCCTGGCTCTAAATAAGATCCATCTCAAAATCATTACAGGTGTTATTAGGGTTTGTTGTACATTTATCTTGGACAGGAAGGCAGGGATTTTGTTTTAGAGCTAATAATATCTTTCTTAGCTGTTACTGTTATGCTGATAATTTTTAGCTCACGTGCTGTCAAAAATGCAATTACGAGGGGTATAATTTCCATTATAAAGTCTCCACTCCTGAGACAATGGTCCATTGCTACACTCTATTTCTTATTATTGTTTCATCTTGTCTGTGCAAATGGCTTACTATTATATTATTGCTTTGTAACAGCATATCTGGGACCAACATCCTATCAAAAATAAGATTAAAGGTTATGAACAGCTACTTTTTACACTATGTGCCAAATGTTTTCCAGCGGTAATTGCATTTCCTTCTACCTGTGTAAAGTGGAAATGATTCCTTGCAGCAAAATGGGTATTTTTCCTGTGAGTGTTTGCCTCAGTAATTTATTTCTAATGATACCATGCCTGACCATCTCGTTAAAGAAGAGCTAAATAGGCCATGAAGACTAACAGCTAAATGGAATATGGAGTTCCTCTTTTTCATTTAATACAGCCGTCTCCATCTCCTGGTTTACAGGTTGTTGCTTGCAAGATGATACTCTGACATTGCTCTGGGCCAGGAAAATGTTACTTTCCACAACTTCATGCTGCTTCATTTTGACAGGGAGGGCAAAGTATTGCATTGCTCACAGCAGATTATTTGCCCAGCGTTGTCATCTGTGGGCCGGCACAGGTTGGAAACCGTTGTATTACTTCAGTCTTCTGGAACTTCAGTGTCCTCCAAGAGCTCTCAAGGACAAATAATACCCAGAAATTATGTGAGCCAGTTCCTTAATTACTCCAGGATCCATGGGCATTTTTACATGTACTCTGGGGGTACACACTTTAATGAAAGCGTCTCCGAGAGTGGCTATAATTAAAGCACCTGGGGCTTCTCATGTACAGGCAGTCCTTGACCTACGTTTCGAGTTACGACGTTTTGCACTTACGTTTAGAAATTGACACCAGGTTTTGACTTTACGCTTGATCCGATGCGATGCCACGCCAGCGAACAAGTTTGCTGTATCGCTCGTCTCCCTGGAGAACGTCTGTCCAAGCCTCCTCGGACACCTTCCTTAAGAATGCCGACAAGACTCCAGAAAAACCTGCAGCCAAGACTCCAGCCAAGAGCCCTTCAAAAAGTCCAGCAAAGTCACCTCAAAGACATCCTTCCAAATCAATATGATTGATATTTATGATATAAATACATTAATGTAGCTATATTACTCATCTATAATTGATCGAGTACAAAATTCTGGGGTATTTTTGGTGAAAACAGGGTATTGGGCCTTGGTTAAGGAATCAATCCCCCATTTATAATGTTGCTTCTTATGAGTTGCAACGTTTCAACTTAAGACACGGTTTTCAGTAACCGATTGTGTTGTAAGTCTGATGACCGCCTGTATCTGCAATCCCTGTGCTTCAAAATGGAGGCTGGGGTGCTTTAACTAGAGTGCTCCTGCCACCACTCTGGAGCACAGGGATGCTGACACAAGACGGGGAGGCTGGCCGGAGCGCCGTAATAACCACACACCAGCAGACTCTATTAATCAAGTCTGCTTAAAGGCACTGCAATTACAGCACCGCCCTGCTCACGTACAGGCACCCACCGTTTCACCAGCTCCGCAAACCACCTCCCTTGGCTGAGCAGTCTCTCTCACCTGTTCTGTCCTTATTTTTAGCCTTTTTAACTCTTTGCCACTGCAGCTAACCTGAGTGCAGCTAACCCCCCTCCCCTACTTATTGAAAAAAAACACTTTCAATACTTTAGCTGTCTTAGGCCTCGCCCAGGTTTATTTCTCCCTTCACCCCTTGAACCAGTTTGTGGCAGCTGTATTTGCCACCTTCAATATCAGCAAATTTTTCCCCAGCTCCTAGTCCGCCGCCTCCCAGCTCTCGGTGCCTTCCGTGTCCCCCGCCGCCTGGCACCTCGAGGGGGCAGCCCCGCCCCCAGGGACGGCCTGGGCAAGGCATGCCGGGACTTGTAGGCTCCCCGCGCCGCTGGGCTTCGTAGTTTCCAGGCGGAAGGGTGCTCGTTGTGTGTCTGGGATGACACGTTCGGATCCGGGCTCCTGGTTGGCTGAGACCTCAGGCGGCTTCTCGGGAGGTGGGGGGGGGTGGTCCAGAGGTTGCCTAGGAGACGGGCCGGGGGCGG